CGGAACATATGAATCCAGTTTAGCCACCTGGGGCCCATTTAGCGCACTAGAGCAGTAATTTGCTAAATGGGTCCCTCGTAGTAAAAAAGAATGAGTAAATAGTGAGCAATTCAGGGATGGTAAACCACTAGTAGCTCAAGGGATGTAAAAATGTGAAACTATAATTAGATTCCTTGTTCATAATGCACTAACTAAATTTATTACATTGTATATTGCATCGTTCTGAGTTTATTTCTGGACACAGCTGAGCCCTTAACATTCAGACTGAAACCATCCCTGCTATCAATTCATGCCTCCATTAAAATTCCAACTGCTTATATTAGAAAAAAATTCCAAAGATGGTTTCTTTTATCTTGGATCTAAGGATGCAAACAGGATTAACCTAGATACAAAACACAGCAAGTCGGTTATAAATCACACAGCATAAAATAAACTGTGGTAGTAAATTGAAAATTATGTTCTCTTTTTCTATACTTAGCTGTGAAAATATTTTAACAAGTTGGCATCAGGGTTCGCAACTTTTACATCTGTTGTTTCTTTTGGGGATTATCTTTCAGCATTTGAACATGTGATTCTTTGAAAAGTGTGGCTAGTCAGAAATGTGGTATTAGATTTTACATTTGAAACACTTTAAAGGGTTCAGGGGCATTCGTGAGTTACATGGTTTCAAGACACTGGCCTATTCCCCACTCTACTCTTAAGTGGAAGAAGGTGCTACTACATGGGTGTCTGGAAAACATTTGTCCTTAACCGAAATCCTTTTCTTTCTCAGAGAAACTATATGGTGTGAGATGGCTTGGATAGTTTGGATGATGATCCACGATATCAGCAAACTCTAAGTACCAGGTTCGTTGCCCTTATCATGGTCTATTTTATCAACTATGAGGTATCAGTTTATCTGGTGTTTAGGGGACTGGTTATACTTTAAGAACTCTCATTTCTTTCTCTTTCCTCTCACCCCCAAGTTTAGTAACTTTATAGAAGGTTTGGAGGTAGAACAAAGGCTGGATCACGCTGTGGACTCTTGTGCTTCTACTCTCCGCTCAACTCTGATTTTTATTATTTTGGATACAAAGGAATATGATATGATGCCTTTTAGATTATAGATACTACACATGAAATAATTTCTCTATGTAGAAATTATATTCTGCGTTCTCCCCCAACTCAAAAAAACCCCTCCGTTTTTTGAGGCTGGCATGTATTTCTTTTCTCTTCATATTGAGACACTTTGACATTATTCATTATTCCCTTCTTCCTTCCAATTTACTAATCCTTCATACCAAGTCTGGCAGGTGAATATAATGACCCTCCAGCCCCTCTCCCCTCCAACACTTTGGGTACTAAATTCTCTGAGCAATGCTTTTTCTTTTTTTCACCCTTGAAGAAGTGTTTTGGTTATAAATACCTTCAAAGAGTAAACAAAATCCATAGAGGATAAAAAGACACAATCATGGTGACCATGTAAAGCTAAACTAGAGGACCCAGAGCTAGTTTGAGAACGGTGCTATAGTTACTCAGAGAGGATGGAAGTGGACATTGGGTCAAAGGTGACAATATTTACGATCAGAACAAACTTCCCTTGAATTTGTTACATGAGCTAAATAAATATAACTCTAGAAAGCAGACATGTGGGAGTTAGTATATATTTCTTAATATAGAAAAAATTAGAGAGGTTTATAGGAAATCAACTAAGGAACTAACAAATATAAAGAAATCAACAGTCCATGTTTTAGTACTGAAATTTAACATGTTCTTTGTTTTTTAATCTTATTAAAGGAAGGCTAAAATACTGTTCTTTTCATTTCTAGAATAATTCGTGTTAGGTGCTACTCAAGGTAATGTGAATTAGTGTAGTTGAAATTCATCTTCAATATTATTACCTTTTTCTCTGCCTCTTTACTGTCTTTCAGAGACTGAGCCTTCAGCAAGTACTCAGTTTCATTCATTACAGAAAATTTCATCCAAAATGAGGTCTCTATTGTTGGACTTCCTAGACTAGGTCAGTTCCCCTTGCTTTATTTTTGCTTCTTCGCATGGCAACTGGTATTTTCCCCTCCTCTACATCCTCCTCACTTGTTGAATGTTTTTCTTTCTAATCTATAAGCTCTATGAAGGCAAGGACAGTGTCTAATTTATTCAATTGCTGCAACAGAGTGCCTGGTATACGTTTATAATAATTTATTTAATTAATTAACTTGACTATCTTATCTCTCTTGGGAGAATTTGCATTCTCCCTAATCAAAAATGTAACTCTGCTGTTCATTGAATTCAAAAGGAATAAAAATTAGTTTCATGAGGCCAACATATAATACTTCAAAAGTAAAATATAGAAAAATCATTTTCAGGAATTTCAAGAATCAATAGAAATATATATATGTGTATTTTGTCCTGTAATTTCCTCCATTCCTCTTCAGTGAAACTGTGTAGATAATCTAAGTACAACTTTCCCTGCCCTGATTAATTTCTTTTATTTCAGCTCCCAAGTTCCAGTTTATCTTTCTCCCTTTCTTTCCTTTCCTCTGTTTCTCTCTGCTTCCCTTTCTCTTTCCTCAAACCTCGCACCCCTCAACTCACCCCCAAGTTTAGAAACTTCACTGAAGTTAAGGCAGGTCCTGGATAGGATGCAGTTGAAAAAGTCTCACATGTGAAAATTCAGGTTTATAAAACAATATGGGGGAATGGTAATTCAATTAAAAAAGTTTACTAAATTCTTTTAAACAGTAAGCTACTCTAGGCTAGTCCACAGTATTGCTTTAACTGACAAGAATGTGCAACTTTTCAGACCACAACGAAACACTGTAGCCGTAGAAAATAATTTTTTTCTGAATGTTGAAACAAAAAACACGGGAAGACATTAAGAGAGAACATACGGGACCAGCCCACCTCGTGTCCTACCTTGTCTCCATTCCAACGTTTCCTGTACTTTCCTTTGCCTTCTGTGTCATTAAGGGACTTCAAACTCTATCAGTGAGGAAAAATGAGATCTCAGCTCTTTGCCTTTTTCCTTCTCGGAGGCAGGAATGGGAGAGGACCGGCTCGACTCGGGCTTGCAGGATTTCCACCAAGCATGTTCAACATCGTCCCAGTTAGAGTTTCCAGACACTGTCTTCCCTGGCCTTGGGAAAGTGGGGGGAAAGTGAGGTTGGCTCTGACGGCCAATTATCCTGTGGTGCTGTGGGTATGTATTTGTACCTCATACAACGTGTGATGGAGGTGAAGACCATGGCCTGGGGACCTTTGTGCCGTGGAAAATGCTTCAAAGCCCTCTCTTTCAAACAGCAGGAAAAACGAAAGTCTTCTGGGGAGCAGGAATGGGCCGGTTAGGTACAAGTTAATGAACAAGAACATTCCCGAGCACCGAGTTCGACAGCAGAGGGCACAATATCCACCGTCCAAGGCCAGCCGCCGGCGGCCAAAAGAGGCAAAACTTAAGGATCTCTGGGGCTTGTAGTTCACCACGTTCCCCTAGGGCGTGCCCGTTCGTGCACTAGGACCACAACTCCCAAAGTGCACCGCGCGCCCCCGATTTCTCTGTCGCCCCCTCTCAGAGGCCCGCGTACGATCCTCCTGGGAAACTGTCCCCCGCCCCGCCCTCGTACGCACGCGTCACGTTTGTTTACCCTTAAGCCCCGCCTCGTCGCCGTCCTCCTGCTCTCTCCTCTCCTCCCTGGAATGCCGTCATGCGGGTGATGCATATTCATAAGGCCCCCGTGGAGCTCCCGCCCTGCCCGCCTCCTGTCTTCCCGCTCCGGGCGCTTGATTAATATTCAATGAGCCCTGCTTCGCGGCTGGCTCTCCGGGTAGAGGTTGGGGAGCGGGCGGGGCCTGCTCTTGGGAGCCTGCGACCCGGGCGGGGAGGGCGTGTGGAGGGGGGGGCGG